CAACTCATGAATTCTGTTCCCAGGGTGACCTTCATATGGCTAACCAATCACGTGTATGCTGCATAACCATGGACCGCTGCATGGACTTCCTTATGGGGGAGCAAAGGGGAAACATCAGTGTCCCCAAATTCTATATAACACCTAATTCTGCAGCAGAAGAAACACTGGGTAGCAAGCTGGTGGAGCCTGGTGTGACGAGCCTTGTCTACAATGCTCATTTTGAAATGAAAATTCAAGTTCTCAGCACCAACACAACACCTCCAACATGCTTAGCGGTGTACAAACCAACAGCGATTGGCTTGCATGACTGTCTGCCATGCCCTGCTGTAAAGATTTTGTAGTCCTTATTGCACACAGAATATTACTTAGCACTTAACTTCAAAGTCCCTTACCAACATTGTCTCATAAAGCTCCTATGTTATACGTATTAGTGTCTCCATTTCTGAGCTAGAGCAACTGAAGCAGAAAGAAAAACGACTTGTCTGAGGCCCCAGTGGGAGTCATTGGAGGTGTAATTTCCAGCTCAGATTGACATACCTGTGCTAGCTCTGATCGAGCCCACAGGCGGTGAGAGTGGGTACCTGCCCCCAGGATGGCCCTGTCTGAAAACATAGGCAAGTATTTGGGGCTGCCAGTTCATCCCGCCACTCACACTGCCAGGACTACACAGGTATTTTTAGCTCAATCAAAGCTAGCATGGGTATATCTCCCCAAGCTGGAAATTACATCTTCTGCTCCAGTGTGGATACACGCACTGTCAGAGTCGGAGTTAGAATTCAGGAGATCCTGCACACAGACTACTAGGCCTCACCTCTCTCACACAGAAAATTCAATTATAGCAAAAACATTGAACCCTTAAGCATCCGGTTAGCCACAAGGCATGGAATTAAGCAGCATCTAAAATAATTGGGCCAGATTGTCAACTGATGTAAATCAGAGTGTCTCTGATGCTACTGTGTCATTACAACTAACAGTCAGTCTGAAAGAGAAGGGGTGCATGTGCATACACATACACCAGTGTGCACACTGGTGAGAGAGAAAACCAGTCAGAACAAATAATGGATATTATCCATTGGTTATCATCCTGTCTGGAACACATAGGAAACTAGATTTATTTAATATGAAAATCCCAAAACTAGGAGAGATTACTAAAATTAGCTGATGAGAGAACTGGAATTGAAACTTTCTCAGCTTTCATTTGTATGGGCCGGAGTGTTAAATCTTTCACATAGAGCGCTCTTCTCCCAAGTGTGGGTCAGAAGCCTGAGATAAATGGGCATTAACAAAAAACAAACAGAAAACAAAGTTTTAAACAAAACTAACAATTCCCTTCCACCTAAATTGCTCTCTCCTTGTGATGCCATAATCCCACTTAGCTCGTCAGCAGGCCACAGACACCTCTAGTAAAAACAGGAAAATTAAGACATGCTGTTTCTAAGGTAAAATAAACAAATAACTAAAGCAGAAAACAAATATTTGAAACCAACCAACCAAATAAAAACCCGATTAGGCCTTCTTTACACAACATCAAGCAGCAACTAGAAAGCATGCACAATTCAATTTGCTTTTCTGCTGCGCAGGTCACTTGTAACAGAAAAACAATCATTCCCTTTCCAGCACTTGCCTAGTCTCCAGTTTTCATACATTGGACTTAGGAGGTAGTGGGTCAGCATCTTGGAAAACTCAGAAGCGGCCTGCAGTGACAACAGAGTTAGAATCCTGCCTGTGACACTTTTCAGACCTTTGGCCAACGTTAGCTGTGAAGTCACAAAGAATAACTAACAAGAAAGGAAAAACAGCGAGGAGTCCTTGTGGCACCTTAGAGACTAACAAATTTATTTTGGCATAAGCTTTCATGGGCTAAAAGTGGGTTTAACCCATGAAAACTTATGCCCAAATAAACGTGTTAGTCTCTAAGGTGCCACAAGGACTCCTCGCTGTTTTTGCTGATACAGACTAACACAGCTACACCTCTGAAACAAGGAAGGGAGACCAATACTGCAAACACCAGATTTTGAGCTGCTGAGAAAGCACCATTGGAAGCCTTGACTCAGAAGAGCTGGCACAGATGTAAATGAGTCGATGAAAAAGAAAAATGAAGGCTGCTCTTTTGAACCCTGAGGATTAATCTGTTTGCCTGCAACATAACTAGCTCCAAGGTAGGGAACGAGCCCAGTTTCTGAAATGGTCACTTTCGTCAGATGTTCCAGCTGCGAATAACAACAACCTGCTCCGATTTGTAATACCCTTTGTAGGTGATTATGGGAAACAAAAAAGAACTAAATTCAAAGCAGGTTTTCAACTGGGGAGAATCCAAAAATGCTGACTGAGGAGGAGAACAAAGCCAGATGGCATCTGTTGGTATTGTTATGGATTATGCAGTGTAAGGCAATAGGAAACGAGTAGAGAAAAAGAACCAGTTTTGCCTCAAATTTCCACTATTGCCAGATGGACATGCTGGGGCAACTGCAAAATGATCATCGTGTGCTTCGTATTTCCTCTCAGAATGTACTTCGAGATGTGCATTAGCCCAGGCATGAATTTTTATCTAACGTTTTCCTTGGGGCTTACTAGCTGTTTAGAGCATTCAGTCTAAAAAGCACTCCCTCAAACTCTTGCCACAAAAAGAGCTGAAACTATGATACTAATTAAAACCACACTCTTTGGTATCAAGAAGACATGCTGTTATTTTCGTTTGTGCTCTTGAGAAGCTGTTAATATGGGCAACGCGTCTGGAACATTTTCCTTCCAAACTGAATGTTCAATGCCCCCTCCTGCTCAAGGCGGCATGTTTTATGAACTTGTCAGCAATCTGGGTCTTTACCGGCGTGAGGCAGGAAGGCTCAGATATGATATTTACAAGAAAAGATTTATTTTAAAATGAGCTGTTTGCCAGCTTAACATCATGAAAAGCACATTGAGAGAAACTGAAACATCACATTACATGAAGAGAACAAGCTAAATAATTGTCCTGACTCACACCCAATGAGCCAAACTGAGGGACTGGTTCTGAAAAAGACTTAGGCCTAAATTTTCAAAAGTGGCATCTGACAAGCCTGTTTCTGGGTATCCCACTTAAGATCCCTACGGCTCATTGGTTGCTGCCTGCACTATGTATGGTCATTTGCACCAGTGTAAACACCACTGAAGCAGAATGGTGGAGTTTCACAGTCACTTTACATGTATCTACCTTAGATTCTTACACAGCCCTCACGGCTGTGGTATCTCAACACCTCACAGCCATTAACGTATTTATCCCCACAAGACTCCCCGTGAGCAGGACAATGTTGTTATCCTCACCATGCAGATGGGGAACTGAGACACAGAGAGGCTAAGGGCCAGATTTTTAAAGGTATTTAGGCACCTAAAGATACAGATAGGTGCCAAGTAGGATTTTCAGAAGCATGTAGGTACCTAACTCCCATTGGCCCTTAGGAGCTTTTGAAGATCCCACTAAGCACCTATCTTTAGGCGATTAAATACCTTAAAAATTATGGCCTCGTGTTACTTCTCCAAAGTCACACAACACATCTGTGCCAGAACAGAGAATCAAATGTGGTTCTGCTAAATCCCAGGCCAGGGCCTTAACCACTGAATGATCCTTCCTCTCAAGGTGAAGGGCAATGGTGAATCCAGCATCTAGGTCTGATTTACAAATCCCATTGATTTAAAATGGAATCCCAGTGCGCAGCACTTCAGAGAATCAGGTTGTCAACATCTTAGGTTGGGCACCCAGAATTAATGGGTGCTTTTGAAAATTATGTCTACACTACCGCCCGGATTGACACTCTGGGGATCGATACATCAGAGTTGGTTTAGCGGGTCTAGTGAAGACCTGTCAGATCGACCACAGATTGCTCTCCAGTCGACCCCGGTACTCTACCCCAAACGAGAAGAGTAAGGTAAGTCAATAGGAAAATGTCTCCCATCAACCCAGCATAGTGAGGACCCCGCATAAGTCAACCTAAGCTAGGTCAACTCCGGCTACGTTATTCACGTAGCTGGAGTTGCATAGCTTAGGTCAACTTACCGAGGTAGTGTAGACATCAGTCTTTAAAGTAGCCTTTACTTGCATGAGTAAAGATACAGGAGAGCACACTATGAAAAGACTCCCCCCTCCCCCCAAGTGTCACTCCTGGGACCACCGTAGTACATAACATCTCACCAGAGTGGCTATGACACCTGGTTTCTATTTGGGAATATGGCTTTCAGTGTCTTTGTTGACTCAAAGCAAAAAACTCAGCTTCCCTTTTTCACTGCCACAGGGATAGCCAGTGTTTTAATTCATGTGGTACACAGGGTGAGTGCTTTTTATGTGCGTTTGATGGTATTTAACTTTGACAGCCTCCTGCCCAATTATTTAACTTTGGATTCACCAGCAATACAAAGAATCCATGTAAGTTACAAAAACAAGTTAATGCATTAAAAAAAATATGACTTCAGCAAAGACGTTAAGCTACACAGGCAAATATGTGTAATTTGTTACATGCTTCTATTGTGCTGGGATCCAAAGTAATAAAATATTCCTGTAATGCTAGAACCATGGGGCCCAGCCCTAATAAGATGTTCAGATTCCAATATTAGTTTTGCTACAGTATATTCTGACTCTTGTTATTAAAACAGGCACTACACTGCTAACCTCCCTAACATGTTCCTAACATTTTTTTTTTTTACCACCAAGGTAAAAGAGATTTATATCATGTAATGCGAGTGCTCAATTGTTTTTGAGATGCATACATCTTTTGTCAATCTATGCAACTGTAAAATGGAAACCTGTGCATACCCAAGGCATCAGTAATAAAATCCCGGTGGTTGGCTGCTTTATTTTATTGTGGGGGAAGGGTTGGTAAAGGGATGGACTGCTTTAAAAATTCCACATTCCTCAAGTCCTGCTTTTCATTTGGGGTTGACAGGCAAAGTTCGGAACACATCATTACGGCTTCGCAGTCACTGCTAAAGGTAATGCTCATGTTACAAATGAATTAATAGGAAACACTTACCTTCCCCACTAGCTTGCCTTTCCTGTTCATGCAAAGGTAAAAGTCTGTCTCTTTCCCTTTGATCCGGACTTGACTGCCAAATGTGTCTGTTTCCACTAGAAGCTGGGCTTGTAAAAGGAAGAAGAAAGAAAGGCATTTACCAGCACAGTCAGACCAAGTCATAGCATGAATGAGGTAAGTCAAGAAGTTCTCCTATGTCCACCTGGATCACTAAATGAAGACACAGTCCATATAGGGGGGGAAAAAAAAACACACACACACACACACAACCAACCAACCCACACACCTTACCACAGGCTGAATTCTGCTCTTGGTTACACTGGTATAAATCTAAAATAATGCTACCGACTTCATCTGATTACCCCAGATTTACATCAGTGTAATTGAGAATTTACACACACACACTTTTACTGCCCAGATTAACAAAGTTATATTATTATTATTATTGTGTAGGGAGGGGAGTCCCCCCGTAAAACGTCATGTGAATTATGTTCTCAGGAATGGTGCCATTAACAGCAAAGTGAAAACTAAATTCTTTACCACAGGCCAACGTGTGGTGTGCCAGCCCTAACCGAGACAGACAAACGGGCAGTTGGTTTTCATGGCCCCTTCAGGGTGTGGCAATTTCACTGAAACCAACAATAGGGAGCAAATTTGTACCCATTACTTTGGTGCCTTTTTTGATGAGGACGCTGGCTCTTTAAAAGTCCTGTATGCATCCCCTGGCATACTCAGGAGCCCATCAACTACCATTGTGAAAATCCTGTGGGGCAAAGCCTAGAACCCTGCCCGTGACAGGGTGGGCATTTAATGCCTTACACAATCTAACCTGGTCACCATGTTGGAGTGCAGAGTTTCCCTGGCCCTGCCTCCATGGTGGAGGATGGTTTTTGTCTCTGTGCAGTCCTGAGTTAATATGCCACTTGCCATGTCACAGGTTTTTTGTCAGAGATGGGCCAAAATTGGCATCCAGGCCTGCAACTCATCGCTACAACCACCCCCACAATGGGGAGGCATTTGGATCCAGAATTTCATTTTGTTTCATTACAGAGTTAGGGGCCAGCTGCAACATTCAGATCAGGACCAAGGTTAAAGCCAAAACATCCTCCCAAAAAGTTTGGGGTGTTCAGATCTGGCCTTTTGGCCCAGGCCCATCTCTAGAGCTCAGAATAGAAAGCGGACATGATAGAAATATAATCTGAGAATGTCTAAATGTCAGTGCATGGAAACCCGGGCCCTGTACTGGAAATTCATACAAACTAAATCTTACCCTAAAAATACAGCTATGGCCAAACATTGAAGAATGTTTGATCTGTGCTACAGAAAGTCACATTCTTTTTGACCTTCATATTTCAGAACTGTAAAACCCTCTAAGATCAAATATGTTCACTGTAAGGATTTACCAAGGGGATAGAAATAGGAGTTTGTTTCATTTAAGCACATTAATATTTTTCCCACTTGTAAAGTCAGAATTTGGCTTTTTCGGTAGTGTAAATATCACAAAACTTTAACCCTCAATGGAGATTTCCTTCTGCAGCTCAGACAGAGATGAGATTTTTGGTATTTTGATTCTTACGATTACCAAATGTTCAACAGATGCTTACATTTATTTAGATTCTTCATTTGTTAAAAGGGTATCCTGTGAAATTAAACCTATATCAAGGCAGAGAGGAATTATTGTTTAAGTGTCTAACAGCAGATGGATATAACATGTATGTGTATTATATATATTTCAGTGTCTAAGAAATGTACCAACCTACTTGATCACTGGGGCTGGTGGGTCAACCTACTGCTGATTATTTGGACCCCCCCCCTCAACTGAGAGGGTGGGCACCAAGACCCACCCCATTTGGTCAGGGAGGGGCCAAGGAAACCAGAAATTGACATTGTGGGAGACAAAAAAGAACAAACAAGGACAGGGGTGCAGGTCACAGGGTCAAAACAAGGGATCCAGAAGGGGACACCAGGCAGGGAACCCCCGATAATGCCCACTGCTCCAAGAAGGTGTCCAAGGAGTTGGTTTGGACACCCCTCAGAGGAACCCTGCCCAGATATGTGAACAATTAAGGGACCAGAAAATAGCATACATGGAAGCTCTGGAGACTGAAGTCCTCCATTTATCTACAGACCAGGGTGGACATAGGCAACAGCAATACCTCCGCATCGACAGCATGCCTCAACCTTCTTCTGGAAGCACTGTCTCTGTGGGCTAGAAAGTAATTCATTCTCTGTGTCCATTCAGTTCTCGGAGCCTCTGTTAAAACTACTAAGTGTGATGCTGACCATCAGGTAACAACTCTTGGTCACTTTGGTTTGAGAATTCAAAAGGGCAACCTAACAATGAAAAGACTTCATATCCCATTACCAGTTCCTTCAGTCACCTATTACCCCTCTGATGGCTTTAATTTTGGAGATAAGCAACCGACACCTTTTTAATCCAAAGGATTGTTTCACTAGGGCAGAACACAGACGTGAACGCAGCGTAGGTTAGAAAGCAGAGGACACACCATGTCACCTTCAAACTACAACATGTATGAGTAATATCCAGGCTGATTTTAATTTGAAAAATATCACCTTCACAAGAGGCCGGTTCCCTGCTGTGAAAATTAAAACCATCTGGACAGAGTAATTTCCAATAATTAATCTAGCTCTCCTTTGACACGGCTACTAATTAAAATATGATACCCCCTCTTTTCTGCCAAATAAAGAATTTAAATAAAGTTTAAAGATCTAGTAAAATAATGTAATAATTTTAGAAATAAATTGAACTTACCTTTTCTCCTACTCTCCCTAGGCTGCAGAAGGTTATGTCTGTGCCCTCACATCATCATGCACTAGTACCCAAAACAGAAACTGAGAGCAGCAGCTTTGACAGGAAAATATCAAGAGAGACATTTATACCAATAAAAACAGGCCCCCAACAAAACCCACAAAGGGGTTCTCAAATTCTAGAAGCAGTTATTTCAGCCAAGATTTTAAGAAGTGGGGGCCTATAGTTCGGCTCCTGAGTGTATATTTAGGACCCTAAATAAGGGGCCTGATTTTCAAAATTGCTGAGCACTCAGCCGCTCTCATTGAATTCATTGGGAGCTGACAGGTGTTCAGCAGTTTCAAAAGTCAGGTCAGGTTTATTTAGGTGCCGGTATATGGACTTAGAAGCCTTACGTTAGGCGCTCACTTTTGAAAATATTGGCCTTGTACTCCTCAGTTGTTAAAACGTTATTAGCTGAAATTAAACTTTTATCCAGGTGAGATACAAATTATTGTTTAGGATGCTAACTGCAGGTGGATTTACAGCTGTGATTCTTTCTCATGCTTGAGTTTTTTAATTATTTGTATTCTTTTTAGGGATCATGATACATGCTGGATTGACAACCCACCAAAGCTCTGTCCTGCTTCCAGAGAAATCAGTGGGAGTTTGGCCATCATGCGGACCAAGCACAGATAATTGCACAAACTTCTATACACTGCCTTGCCCGTGTGTCTCAATGATTGGCACCAGGCCAAATCTTTTTCTCAGTTACAATGATGTAACCTCATGGAAGTCAGTTGGGCTACTCCTGATTTCCCATGGTATAACCAAGGGCAGAATTTGGCCGTCCAATTTCTAGAAGTTGAGAAGCCAATTCAGTCTTGATGGCCTATTCCAGCCTTGATCTCTCTGCTGACACTACCAGTCACAATGATGGTTTCTGTGATATGGACACATATCCACCAGAACCAGGACTGATGTTACCAGTTCATTGCACATAGGCCAGACAAACAAGCATGAGACTAACAATTTTCGATCACCACAAACATTCAGTGAAATGCTTGAATGCAAATTTTCTTTAGATACCTCTTGGATAAAGTTTCTATGTCTCCACAAACAGGTGGAGGTAATTTGTAGGGGAATTTTTCCTAGATTTTCTGTGGGAATCAGTAAGAGAGAATTGTAGGTTTCTCCCCTGCTGTACTTTTCAGCTAGACGGCCCTGCATGACATATTGCTTTGAACCCAATTAATCTCTAGGTGCGCTGTAGGGAGATTGCAATCTTTATATTACTAAGCACTGCACTCCAGTCTGTAGATCAGGTATTATTGTTTAAATTCTTTGACAGTTAGATATTCTGACATATTTAAAAAAAAAATTCTTTAGAGGGTAAAATCTTCTGCTACATGCTTTTCCCTTATTGGCCCATTTAACCTAAACCTTCCTGAGAACTCCCACTGGAAGAAAGTGGAATTCCTCACATGTCTAGGTGAAAAGGATTATATATGTTGAAAAGCTATCTTCCAGCTAAGAAAACATTAAGTCAGGGAGATATTTGAAGGTGGTAGAAAATATGCCAACTTATCTTTCAAATATTTCCCTTGAGTGGGAGGATGGGAGCCAGAAAGGTAGAATGAAGATATAGGGGGCAATGGAAAAGGCCAAGGCTTGGCTTCACTAAGAGAAGGCAAAGGAGATTCAGAGAAGTTTAGCAATATAGGGGGAAAAGTTGGTTGGAGCAGAGATGAGGGGACTGGGCTTCTTGCAAATATGTTTCTCATCAAGATCTGACTTTAAGCACCCACAAAGGGTCTCAACCTGCTCACTGAAGTCAACAATTTTGCTATTGACTTCAATGGGAATAAGATTACCCCAAACCCAGATGTCTGAGGAGTCTCTCTCATAGATTCATAAATTCTAAGTCCAGAATGGACCATTATGACCATCTATTCTGACCTCCTGTACATCACAGTCCAGAGAACACCCCCAAAATAATTCCTAGAGCAGATCTTTTAGAAAAACATCCAAACATCCACTTGGATTTAAAAAGTGCCAGAGATGGAGAATCCACCATGACCCTTGGTAAATTGTTCCAATGACTAACTACTCTCACAGTTAAAAATATATGTTCTATTTTCAGTCTAAATTTGTCTAGTTTCAACTTCCATCCACTGGATCATGTTATACTTTTCTCTGTTAGATTGAAGGGGACCATCATTAAATATTTGCTCCCCATCTAGGTACTTACAGACTGTGATCAAGTCACCCCTTAACCTTCTCTTTGTTAAGCTAAATAGACTGAGCTCTTTGAGTCTATTGCTGCAAGGCATTTTCCAATCCTTTAATCAGTCTTGC